TGCTTACCTACTTGCCAGTCTGTGAAGCAGGAGTGGGCGGGACAGCGGACGCCGGAGACCGTGACGAGGAAGGAGGGAGGACGCAGCAAGAGGTGTACCAGATATGACCTACAACACAACACCCTCACCTTCCTCGCCTCATAATGTCCTCCGCCGTCCCCGGGACCGCTACACCACCTGACACTTTCTTCAGCCCCTTCCCCAATCTCTCCTCCCCCCCACCCTCAGAACCACAGGTGGGTAGAGGCATCACTACTATCACCAGCATTTTCGAGCTGTTCATGCCCGTGCCACCTCTTGGGTGGCTTAATCTTCATCAACCAATCACCACCAGCATCACCACCCACATCTCCTGTGCCAGGTAAGTACAACGGGCTCACCATAACCGGTGCTGCTTGGAATTTTTGTTCCGTGTAGCTGAAACTAACAACAACCAGCATCACCACCACCACCAACCACCAAAATTTAAATAGTACAAAGACTTGCAACAAGACTGGTGCCAGAGATACTAGGATTAAGCTTTGAAGGTAAAGGAACTAAATTTCACAGCCCTAGAGGATAGAAGAAACAGAGTGCATGATCACGACGTACGAAATACTGACGGGAATGACACAGTGGACAAGGGCAGCCTCTTCAAATTGAGAGAGAGAAAGTAGGACAATAGAACACAGGTGGAAGCTGGAAACGCAAACGAACCAAAGGAATGTAAAGAAATACTTGTACCACACACACAGAGATCACAATAACGTGATGCATCAAATGAACAAAATCGACTGTCGTAGCTCGGTCGATTAAGGCAGTGTCTGGGATGCTCCCGGACGCAGGTTCGAATCCTCGTCACGGCCCTTCTGGATTTGTTCAAATACTCGTACCCCCCATACAGGTTGACAACAAGTAGAATTCAGTGAAAGAAAATGATGTGGAAGCCACCTCCATCCACAACTTTAAAGCCAGATTGAACTAAGAATTTGAACGTCAGAATAGTTTAACTGTAACACAACAAGACTATTAGGCGGGCCATGATGAACTCGACCTCACTTCGTAGTAGACACTGTTAGACAAGTACTGTTAGGTGAGTACCACCACCACTCAGACCGGTCAAGTGCCACCCCGAGGCAGCTGGCACCCCCTCCCCCCCCCCCCCCCGCCTCAGATGGCAGGCCCGGGCACTCAGCCAAGATATTCCTTGTTCTTCAACACAGTTGAGAACACAAGGCGTGAGAATGGCAACAACTTGACCTTGTAGCAAAATAGAATTGACAAAGATATTAAAAAAAATAAACAGTTAATAATAATTACTTTGCTATAATTAGCAACACATTTATATAAACATGAGTATTAATTCTAGGTCACAAATTAATTAATTCACATATTAATTCTCAAGTCACAATCAACTTGAGAATGGTCCAGGACGGACCGAAACGTCGTCGTCCCTTCACCTTCTAGTGTGTGGTCTGGTCAACATACTTTAGCCACGTTATTGTGACTCATTTCCTGAGAGAACCAACAGTAAGCCACACCACCTTCCCCACCGTTCACCCTCTCCTTCCTTATCTTGATACCGTCTTGGGGAAGATCACTCCCTCTGTTACACTCCTCAGTTTCGCTTCCGCCAATGCAATGATGTGTGGCTATTTTTCTGCTACTCTTTATTTGTGATTACATTTTCATTTGTGTGCTACTTGGGCTGGACGGTAGAACGACGGTCTCGCTTCATGCAGATCGGCGTTCAATCCCCGACCCGTCCAAGTGGTTGGGCACCATTCCTTTCCCCTCCGTCCCATCCCAAATCCTTATTCAAAGTGCTATATAGTCGAAGGCGAATTATCAGGCGAAGTTTTGGCGCCTTCCCGTGATAATTCCTCTCGTGCACATAACTTCAATGTTACTCATCGCTATTGGGCTAATTTGGTTCTGGCCAAGGAATAGCAGTTTGGCTACTCCTTACCCAGTTGTAACAGCGGAAAGAGTGTGTATATATATGCTGATCTAGTCGCTCCTGCCTGTTGCTACGGATGGCTGCCTCGTCAAGCTGGGCAGCTCAATTATATTTTGCTGTGTGGACCTGTCTGTTGCCGGGCTCGGTGGATCGTGTGTGGTGTTTGTGCAGTTGCTGGCCCTCTCCAGGTATGTCTGGCTGGCTCGACTTCCCTGCCTCCTCGTCCATATCGAGGAGGACGTACTAATGGCTAAAGTACTCTTCCTCGTCTTGCCCTACAACCCCACACACCCCCATCTTTTCCACCAGAATATTCTGAGAAGGAAGGAAGGGGGAGGGATAAGGAAGGAGTAAGGGAAGGATGATGAAGGGGGTAGAGGGAGGAAGAGGCAAGGAGATGAACGGGAAGGAGATAAGAGAGGTGACCGCAAGAAAGAGCAGCACGGGCACACAGCCTGACATTCATCACAATTAGGGGGCAGCACCGGCGGTAAAACTGGTTAAAATCCCTCCAAGGCTCCGGTAAATACTGCTCCTGGCCTCTGTGTGTGTGTGTGTGTGTGTGTGTGTGTGTGTGTGTGTGTGTGTGTGTGTGTGTGTGTGTGTGTGTGTGTTTCACCCTCTCTCTCTCTCTCTCTCTCTCTCTCTCTCTCTCTCTCTCTCTCTCTCTCTCTCTCTCTCTCTCTCTCTCTCTGTGTACGTGTTTGAAGGGCTGTGAATATGCCTATCATACCTATTTATTTGTGGAGATCGAGGCCCAGCTCCTAGGCCCGCCTCTTAACTTCCAATCATATTTTCATCACAGTTTGATAAACCGTTACTGGAATTTCCCTTAATTTGTTACCTTTCAGTAGTTAAAATGTGAATAATTTCATAAACAAAAAATGCCAGGTGTAATTCTGCTGATAATTTATATTTATCGCAAACGTAGTTACCAGTCAACCTGTACCCTCCGTCCTTGCTGATAAGGGAGTTACCACAAGACAATTCCTCCACTGTCTACAAGTGCCCTGCTCCCCCCCCCTCAACCCTCGCCCTCTATACCACTCACCTCAAACGTAGCTATGGTAGCCACCAGACGACCTGAACGCCATCCCACTTTCCCTCTCAAACATTTGACCCCATGTTATAAATCTTACCCACTCTGGTATACATGGACTCACCCCTGTAACCACTCTCACATACATGGACTCTCACCTGTACCCACTCTCGTATACATGGACTCTCCCCTGTAACCACTCTGGTATACATGGACTCTCCCCTGTAACCACTCTCGTATACATGGACTCTCACCTGTAACCACTCTGGTATACATGGACTCTCACCTGTAACCACTCTGGTATACATGGACTCTCCCCTGTAACCACTCTGGTATACATGGACTCTCACCTGTAACCACTCTGGTATACATGGACTCTCCCCTGTAACCACTCTGACATACTCTTACAAACTTGTGTAAAGAATCATTCAGAACCTCGTATACCTCATATATCAGACCAATACTGGAGTATGCGGCTCCAGCGTGGAGTCCATATCTAGTCAAACACAAAACGAAGTTAGAAAAGATTCAGAGATATACAACCAGGCTAGTCACCGAGCTGAGGGGTATGAGCTACGAGGAAAGATTACTGGAACTAGACCTCACGACACTGGAAGCCAGAAGTGTTAGGGGGAGACATGATCCCTACCTATACAATTTTTCAGGGGAATTGACAGAGTAGATAAACTATTTAGCACGGTGTGGTACGCTAACAAGGGGACACAGGTGGAAACCGAGTACCCAAATGAGCGTGATGTTGGCTGCCCTCTCGTCGCCTCGTCAAACAAACACAGCACTGATCCCTTCCCTAACAAAATCACCCTGCCCCCTGCCCCCCCACCAGCCCCAAGACCTGTCCGTCTCACTCTTTTACCTTGACAGATATCTCACAAAAAAAACGCAAAAGAGTGCATTTCGCTTTATGCCTGCAGGCTAAGGAACGGGATTGCATAACCGGTTTGATATGTGCCACAGCACCTTCCCCTGCCCTGCCCCCCCCCCTCCACTATCAACTCTCCACCTCCACCAGTCTTCCCCCCCCCCCCACCCCCGCCAAGTCCAGCGACCTGTTCTCACATGTACAAGACACACATTTATTCACTGAATACACATTATATCGTGACTATAATTACAGTAGCCCCTTAGGATCCACGTGTTAACGTTCAGCCGGCTGGCTTGAACGCCTTCACGTGTTGTCATCTTAACTGTAAGGTTTGTGTGTGTGTGTGTGTGTGTGTGTGTGTGTGTGTGTGTGTGTGTGTGTGTGTGTGTGTGTGTGTGTGTGTGTGTGTGTGTGTGTGAGTGTGTGTGAGTGTGTGTGAGTGTGTGAGTGTGATTTCGTGAAAATGTTTTACTGTAGGGTTCGTGAAAATGTGACATTCGTCACCCTAGCAACGCCGGGTATCTCCTCTGGGACAAATGGACCCGTTAACAAATAAATATTAAATAACTAGGAAACGAGAAAGAGCGAATGAGGCACAAGAAAAGCCCATAAGGACGCACCGTTGAGGCGGGGGGCACGGCGGCCTTACCCACCAGCCTAATACTGACACATAACACACACACACACACACACACACACTTTACAAAATACTCCTTCCCTCCCTCCTTTATTTCCTGAGAGATCCAGCAGTAAGCTACATCACCTTCCCCACCGTTCACCCTCTCCTTCCGTATCTTAATACCGTCTTGGGGAAAGATCACTCCCTCTGTTACACTCCTCAGTCTCGCTTCCGCCAATGCAATGATGTGTGGTTGTTTTTCTGCTACTCTTTATTGGTGATTCCATCTGCATTTGTGTCCAACCACTTGGACACAGAGTAGATAAAGTACCCTCTTTATGTCCCTCCCTCCCTCCCTTTCCTTCTTCGCGTCCTCTAATAAATCTGAAGCTTCCAGACTAATTAAATGCATAAATGCTTTAGTAAACATAGAACACCAAACAAATTAAAATGTCAACACCAGATGCGGCCAAGACAAACACAGCATCGACAAACAAGAAACATTTGGAGTGTACCTTACCTGTTCTAGCTCCGGGGTGAACCTGACGGGTCTCAAGTAGTAGCAGATGACTATGACGTGGATCAGGTTGATGAGGACGAAGATGGCGTTCCAGAGGAAGGTGTCGAAGGCGCAGAGCACCACCCACCCCCAGAGGCTGAAGAACATGCAGCCGATGGTGAGGGTGATGCGTAGGTACAGAATCCCGTAGATGCCATTAGGCGCCAGGTACGACAGGAAGAGGAATATGTTGGCGAGCTGGAAGTAGATATGGTTGATCGGAAGCCAGCTGGTGCAGACGGGGAAGTCGGTATAGGTAATGCCGCCCATCTTTATGATGCCTTGGATACCGTGGCTGTTAGGGAAGCTGGGCTCTGTGGTGAAGGTCGTGGGCGCCGGCGTGGGCGTCGTGCCGCCCGTCGTCGAGGATATCGTGGAAGATGCCGAGGAAGAGAGATTGAACCCATCTTCGTCGGTGAGGTTGTTGGATAAGAGCAAGATGGAAGCAATGGTGGTGACGATGGGCTCCAGCACGGTGCTGTTGAAGCCCATGGTGGCGGAGATGGTGTTGGTGGTGGAGTGGACCCAGGGGGGTAGGAGCGAGTATGCCTGCGAGGCTCGCCACACAACAACAACACGCACTAAGAGTTGCAGTGGACGCCGGGCTCCAGGAGCTACACCCGGGTGTGCACGAGGGGCCAACTGACGCTGGCAGCCACCATCGTCCAGCGCGACACACACACACTCACTCACTCACACACAGTCTATGTACACTTCTGAACCAACACCACCTCCCTGGCTATCCATATTGGCACTGAAACACTCCACGCGTATATTATGACACTTACAATTGCAAACTGTTCAATTCCACCGTTGGCAGGACAACATCCCAAGTTGTCGTCGCTCCCTCAGGAATCCTCCGTCAAGTTTCCTGATCTTCTCTCACAGTGGCCAAGTAATCCTCGTAGAGTCATCCACATTCTGGTGAAATTATTCTTTCTCAACACCTACATTTCTAGGAATAAATTATTAGCTCATTAACAACACAATGAATTTCCAAGTGGCCAACTAGACGCATAGGCCTAAGATTATTAAGAAACTACTTGACACAAAACTTGGGCGTTAGTGACACGCGACTCATGACTAGGTACGGGTTACCCTGGCGTATATTTCAACCTCGTACGAGGCATCAGCCGCTACGTCACCTCCCGCTGCTCATCACAACCCGACAAAAGCCAGTTTCATTTCAAGAATCAGTGCAGGTTCCAGCTGGTATATGAGGAACACCAGTCGAGAGGTGGTCCTAGGCTCCTGCTTGGCCCAGCCGACATAAACTGAGAGCGGGTGTGGCTCAGGGACCTCACGCCACAGTATCGTCTTCCACACACACACACACACACACGGCAGGTGTGGCTTCGGGGCCCCTCACGGCAGGTGTGGCTTCGGGACCTCACGGCAGGTGTGGCTCAGGGACCTCACGACACAGTACCGTCCTCCACCCGCTTAATTACCGTAATGTGAAAAATAATTACTGCCGTTTTCTTCACAGGGGACGATGAGAGGCCAAGGCTACAATGTGGGTGACTGGTGGTTCCTGTGTGTCGGCCTGGCGGGTGGGCAGTGGTGGGTGGGTGGGTGGGTAGGTGGGCCGGTGGGCAGTGTAAGGTAGTAGCCACGCCCACATGCACCTGACCCAGCCCTCTTTACGCCCACACCTGCAAGGAAAAAAAAAACATTGCTAGTTATTATTGCATTTATTAAGATCCCTCGGAGTTTTTGACCACACACTTACAGGCTTAAATACTTGGCTCACCACGATATCCACCCAGCTTCCTCCCGACCCACCCACCCACCCTAGAAGCGTCACCAAGAAGAGTGTGGCCCACATGGGAGATACTCCCATGTGGGAGTGGGAGGTACTCCCATATAGGACGAGCCACAGTAAACGAGGAAGGATCATACTCGGGATCACTGCTAACAATTTATTACAGACTGGAAACTCTATTTTGTATTTGTGTGTGATATATAATCATATTCCTAAATCTGTTAATACGACACAAGGAGGAAACGTTTGTGCCCATTACGTTCTTGTAATGTACATACGCATTTATAAGCAACTTATTACACTCTTCTAATGGATATATACCCATTTACCAGCCCATCCTCCTAAAATGAAAGTACTTATAGTAACTATGTGGGCCAAAAGTACCAATATATGCAGTGATGGACCGCCAGAAAGTTTGTTTTTTGTATTAGTGAATTTGGACAAACCTGAAACTTTTCAACATGACCTGACCTGACCTCTCCTAGCAATCCTAGACCTAATACACGCAATCCCAGGCCTAATATGTATGTGCTATACTAGGCCTAAGAATATTTTGGTTTTCAGCATTATTTTTTCCGGACTCTTAAAGTTAAAAGCACAAAAAAATGCTTTACCCGTGGTCATCACTATACACTGTACTTTGGACCAAAACTATCACCATTTCAGGAACATCACCATTGAATGAAGATTCATTTAGAAGCAATTTATTTCGTTCTAATGTACATACCCATTTACAAGCAACTTATTACGCTCTAATACACTCTCCCATTTACAAGGAACTTTTGAAACCAAGTTGAGAGCTGTCGAGCCGCACACACCAGCACCTTGCGCTATAAATACAACCCTGGTGAGTGGTTTGGTCATCATATCCGAGTCACGTTATTGTGCCCCAGCGTCTGAATATCAACCAGACTGGCTTCCAGGAAAGATAGAGAGCTCTGCGGTAAAGGGACGTCCCGAAGGTGATCCCTCAAATCAGGACACACAGGTCGGGGCCCTTGAGGCGATCCGGACTGTAGACTGAGGGATTACGGCAGAGCCCGTCTCTACTGGCTGGTATTAAACGGCATGTGCAGAGAGCCTTTAAAAGGTGCCTCCAGTCGTCAAAGGGACATCAGTGATGTCAAGACGAGAGGCACAGTGGCACTCTGGCTGGTATGTAGGTGTATATGTGCTGTACTCGAGGTTAAACGACCGTCTTCAAGTGAATGAATTATCAGGATAAAATGCCTGGCCATTACGACCCCTTGGAAGGGGTCTGGATAAGGATTTGGGATGGAGCAGGGGAAAGATATGGTGCCCATGCATTTGGACGGTCGGGGATTGAACGCCGACCTGCAGGAAGTGAGACCTTCGCTCTACCGTCCAGTCCAAATGGTTGGGCTGAAATGTTTAAGGAAGGGCGGAGGCGGAGCAAGTCTTGGTGCTCCGTGTGTGTGATGGTGGGGGGGGGGGGGAATAGAGACAGACAGGAGGGATCAAAGCAGACAAAGCACACAGCACATAGCAGAGGCCGGAAGTCAGCAGAACAGCAGGTAAAAGTTGCGGATACAATATGAGGCACCTGTAAGATAAGGCTGGCTGTTCACCCAGTACATACTTCCACCCTCATATTTCCTCTCCATAGAACATAGTGTTTATTCAGGCGATGAGTCACAATAACGTGGCTAAAGTATGTTGACTAGACCACACACTAGAAGGTGAAGGGACGACGACGTTTCGGTTCGTCCTGGACCATTCTAAAGTCGATTGAGAATGGTCCAGGACGGACAGAAACGTCGTCGTCCCTTCACCTTTTAGTGTGTGGTCTGATCAACAGTGTTTATTGTCACTACTCACATGTGTATATATCACTGGTCGGTCGGACCAGGTTGTCACGACCACACCTGGACCTGGTAATCACCAGGAGGCATCCAATCAGTCCGTCTGCCTATCAAGTTTCAGACAGCTGATAACAACAGCAACAGCAGCAGCAGCAGCAGCAGCAGCAACCCCCACTCAGCCTCCACTGATAACATCTCGGACGGACAACAATTTCATCTTTGTCCAACTTATCCGTTCTAATTTACCTTATTTCAAAATATTTTCGCTGTATGTATGTCACAATCCCTGCTTGATCGCGCAAGCCATTAATCACTAAGAACTCTATTTGACCCGGTCAAGAACCTAACATTCGAACCCATGACGTCCAGGATCACCCCTAAACGTAACACAGTACCGTGACCACCGCACCATTGATCGTCTATGGTGGTGTGTGTGTGTCCCTTTGTGTGTACTCATCTAAATGTGCTTCCAGGGTCGGGCTAAGCTGCTAAACTCCGCCTTGCAAACGTTCTTAGCTTAATGCAATGATTCATTTCTCACGCTGTAATCATATTTACACTTAAAATTCTGAATCGAATTAGCTTCAACGACTTTTGCATCTAATCTGTTCCAGTTATTGCCATCTCTAACACTAAACAGTTCTTTCGTGCGTGTCACTGAAATAAGCAACAGCCTGATGGACCAAACTCTCACAAGTCAAGCCTGGCCTCGGGCCGGGCTTGGGGAGAAGAACTCCCAGAACCCCCATCAACCAGGTATCAACCAGGTATCCAGCCCCACACCATCTACTGTGGTAAGATGTCACTGAAATACAGCCCTAGACCATCTATTGTAGTAAGGAGCTACTGAAATACAGCCCCACACCATCTATTGTGGTAAGATGTCACTGAAATACAGCCCTAGACCATCTATTGTAGTAAGGAGCTACTGAAATACAGCCCCACACCATCTATTGTGGTAAGATGTCACCGAAATACAGCCCTAGACCATCTATTGTAGTAAGGAGCTACTGAAATACAGCCCCACACCATCTATTGTGGTAAGATGTTACCGAAATACAGCCCTAGACCATCTATTGTAGTAAAATGTCGTTGAAATACAGCTCCACACCATCTATTGTAGTAAGATGTCACTGAAATACAGCCCCAGACCATCTATTGTAGTAAGATGTCACTGAAATACAGCTTCACACCATCTATTGTAGTAAGATGTCACTTAAATACAGCCCTAGACCATCTATTGTAGTAAGATGTCACTGAAATACAGCTCCACACCATCTACTGTAGTAAGGAACGGGTTGAGCTGGAACAGGTGTGGGACAAGAATAAGGAACACGTCTATGGAACAGATGGAGATAGGACGGGCGGACACAGGGACGGAGGGACAGCGGGCGGGAGCGTAAAAACCCATGATGGAGCACAAATAATTGTTTGTTTTGTGTGGAGTGTTTACACGCTAGCTCACCTGAGCCCTGCTGGGGAAGTGTTTGTTATTGCCTGTGCATGGTTGGAGCGCCCGCCTCTTACTTGGACACACGTCATCCACACAACTGGAGGGAGGGAGAGAGTGTAGCGAGGGAGGGTAAAACACACACACACACACACACACACACACACACACACACACACACACACACACACACACACACACACACACACACACACACACACACCCAATAGGTGAGTACACACACACACACACACACACACACACACACACACACACACACACACACACACACACACACACACACACACAGGCGGGATCCAAGAGTCAATGCTCGATCCTGCAAGCACATATAGGTGAGTACACACACACACACACACATTCCTGAGCCCAGTAGGCTCAGGAATCTGTACATCAGTTGATTGACAGTTGAGAGGCGGGACCAATCATGTCTTCTTCAACTCCTCTGTCTTCCAGCGACGTGCGGTTCAATTCACGTAGCCTTTCGTCGTAACCCATACTTCATTGTTCCGGGACTACTCTGGTGGCATACTTTTGAACCCTCTCCAACTTCGCCTTGTGCTTGTGTATGAATGAACTTCACGCTAGAGCCGCATACTCCAGGATTGGTCTGACATATGTGGTATATAGGGTTCTGAATGATTCTTCACACAAGTTTCTAAAAGTTGTTCATATGTTAGCCAGCCTCGCAAGTGCCGCTGGTGATATCCTTTTTGATGTCGGCTTCAGGAGACAGGTTCAGTGTTATGTTTACTGAACGGGGTGAGAATAGCTTGAGCTACCTCATCCCTTTGTGTGTATTTTACATCAATAAACTTATTTCAATTTCAGTTCAATTTCAGTGTTATGTTGGGCGTGGGGGAGCGGAGAAGCCATTTTGTGAGGTTGTTGAGTCTGAAGTTAGTAGCGAGACGGACATGTCAGGAACCTGTTCTCACACGTCATCCTCTCGTTATGCGATACTTTAGTAACTTGTTGTGTGCGCGCGTGTGCGTGTGCGTGTGTGTGTGCGTGTGTGTGTGTGTCCTTGTATTCACCTATATGTATTTACACGTACGAGACCTTGAACAGTTGTCCTGTTTCACTGACATCATCTATGTACATATATAATACTGGCTTAAGTAATTAGCCGGGAAAGCGTAATACCTATAGAGAGAACTAAACATTTTATGAGACAGCAAGTAAGTAATTACCAAAAAGAAGGCACCAAACCGGGAAGGCTATGTAACAAGCGAGACAGCAAGGTTGAAGATAACTACTCATGTACCCACCTGTGGGGAAAAAAAATCCATGCATTTCGAGCTTCATCGAGTTCCACGACAATTGTATCACGATTCGGAGAGAGAAAAGACTGGGTGGACCGCATCTTCTTTGACTGTCAAAAAGCATTTAACACTGTCTTCCACAAAGATTGAAACAAGTTGAAACCAATGAGTGTCCGGGATGATACTGGACTGGCTTACAAAGTATTCCCAAAATAGTAAAACATAAGGTTGTGATGAGAGGAGGTGTCGGAATGGAGGAAAGTGACAAGCGGGGTCCCGCAAGGTTTGGTAACTAAATCACTAGTGTTCACGAGTATGGTAAACAACCATTCGC